TTTCTTTCTTTCTTTCTTTCTTTCTTTCTTTCTTTCTTTCTTTCTTTTTTCCTTTTTTGAGACAGAATTTCATTGTTTAGCCCTGGCTGTCCTGGACCTGGCTCTGTAGACCAGGCTGACCTGCCTCTGCCTCCTGGGTGCTGGGATTAAAGGTGTGCACTACCACCACCCAATTTTAAGTTCTTCTTCTTTAATTTTTTTCTTGTTCAATGTTTTGGGTTTTGTTACCTTGTTATTTTTAGAATCCTGAGCATTTCTGTGATTTCTTCTTTTTTCTTGATTAGAATAGTTGGTGGTTTATATACTTTGTAATCTTTATAAAATGAAAACCAATATTTTAGTTTATTTGTTATTTAAACCATGATTTGTTGTAAAAAAAATCATTAGTTTTCATTTTGTCTTTATTATTTTTCTTTTTTTATTTTATAGTTGTTCCTTTTCTAACCTCTTAAATTACATAATTTTGACAAATTTTACCTCAAACATGTATTTGTAGAGTCCTTCCAAAGTCTACATAAGAATCACAAATGAATAATTTTGTTTTTTTACTTTTATTTCTTCTTTTCCATGTCCTGGTTGTGATATTCAATGCCAAAATTCCTTAAGTTCACAATTCTCCTTCCTCAGCCCTCCTACATCTCTGGGGTTATAGTGTGGGCTATCACACTCAATTCAGTTTTCTTTTTAATAATATCCTTGTCTGGTTTGGGTATCAAAGGAAAAATGGATCCATAAAACATTTTGGATCTAATGGAATTATTCCCTCTGCTAATTTTCAGAGTAAATTATATTGAACTGGGTACTAATTTTCCTTTCAGTATTTGATAGAAATTGCCAAACAAGCATTGCTTGTCTGAGGGCTTTTTAATTGGTACCTACAGAGTTATGTTATCAGTCTCATTTTGGATAACTTTCTACTTTCAAGGGCATTTACATTTCACTGAAGTCACCAGTTTTATGTATGTATAGTTAGCCACAGTTGGTCCCTTCTTAGTCTTGTGATGTCTTTAGACTCTTACTTCATTCCTTCAATTGGTATCTTTTTTCATCACTCCTTTTTCTCAGCCTTGCTACCTTTGTTCAGTTTTATTTTTTCTTTTGAAAAAGTAGGATTGCTTTATTGATTTTTTTTTTCTGCTTTCATGATTTTTATTTTAAAATTGATTTGTGTGTTTGTGTGTACACACACATAGAGGTCAAGAGAAAAACTCTGTGGGGCTAGTTCTTTCTTTCTACATTTTTGTGGGGTCTAGGAATTGAATTCAGATCGCCAGGCATGGGCAGCAGGTACCTTGACCCACTAAAACATCTTGTTGGCCTATTTTTATGTTTTTAAATTTAACTTGACTTTTACTTTTCTTTTCCTTTTAATATTTATTTATTTATTTATTTATTTATTTATTTATTTATTTATTAATTATGTATACAGTGTTCTGTCTGCATATATACCTGAACATCAGAAGAAGACACCAGATATCATTATAGATGGTTATGAGCCACAATGTGGTTGCTGGGAATTGAACTCAGAACCTTTGGAACATGAGCCAGTGCTCTTAACCTCTGAGCCATCTCTCCAGCCCTGACTTCTACTTTTCATTGCTTTGTTCTTTTTAAATTTTCTTGGGGTAAGAATGTATATATTTTCGATTCAATTTTCCTGCTTTTCTTTTAAAAATTATGTTTTTATTATTGTTAACTTTATTTATTAAGTTCAAATTTACATTTCATTTATTTCTGTTCATTTATCTGCATATAAGCCTCCATATCTCACTCTCCAGTGCTCTTTATATATCTGGTTTACTTTTTTAAATTTATTACAATTTATTCACTTTGTATCCCAGCTGTAGCCCTCTCCCTTGTCCCCTTCCTCATCCCTCCCTCCCTCTTCTCCTCCCATGTCCCTCTACAAGTCCACTGATAGGGGAGGTCTTCCTCTCCTTCCATCTGACCCTAGCCTATTAGGTCTCATCAGGACTGTCTGCATAGTCTTTCTCTGTGGACTGATAAGGCTGTCCTCCCTTCCACAGGGTGAGGTGATCAAAGAGTTTATGTCAGAGACAGTCCCTGTTCCCATTACTAGGGAACCTACTTGGAGACAGCTGCCATGGGCTACATCTGTGCCGGTATTCTGGGTTATTTCCATGAATGGTCCTTGTTTGGAGTATCAGTCTTAGAAAAGACCTCTGGGCCTAGATGTTTTGGTTCTGTTACTCTCCTTGTGGAGCTCCTGTTCTCTCCAGGTCTTTCTATCTCCCCCTTCTTTCATAAGATTCCCCGCAATCTGCCCAAAGTTTGGCTATGATGTTTAATGAATGTTTTTGCCTGTGTGTTTATGTATGCACACTATGCATCCTGGCGCCCTCAGAGGTCAGAAGAGAGCATCAGATCCTATGAAGCTGAACTTACAGATGATTGTAGCTATCATGTGGGTGCTGGAAACTGAACCTGGGTCTTCTGCAGGAGCAATATGGCTCCAAACCCCTGAGCCATCTATCCAGCCACCTGGTTTTCTAATACAAACATTTAGTGCTAGAAGTTTCTCTCTTTGCACTGCCTTTGTTTCTGCCATAGGTTTTCATGGATATATTTTAATTTTTTTTCGTTTTACTTAAAAAATTCCTTTAAGATTTATTCTTTGACTCTTGGATTATTAAAACGATATGGGGATAGTTTCCAAGTGTTTGCAGATTTTCCTTTATCTTCCTGTTGTCAGCTCCTACTTTTATTACTTTGTGGTGAATAAGTAGATTCTGTATTATTACTTTTCTTTTAAGTTTTTTAGGTTTGTTTCATGGCCCAGGGTAAATGTTTTATGGGTGTTGGAAAAGAACATGTGTTCTACTGTTTCTGTTTCTGGGTGGAACATTGTGTAAGGGCCAGTTTTATCCTATTGGTTGCCCTTTCAGTGGGTGTTATTTTATGTCTAGTTCTGTTAGTTGTTGAGAAAAGGATGCTCAACTCTTTTAATATAACTTTGGATCTAATCTACTTTTCCTTCCATGCTATCAGTTGTTACTTTTATATTTGTGAATTGCTATTAGATACAAACACACTTATGATTTGTCCTTTTGGTGCAAGAGCCTTTTTATCATTGTGTTATGCCTTTCTCTGAATCTGGTAATTTTTCTTGAAGTCTATCTTATCTTGGCTAACATATTTACCATTTTATTATTAATATTTACATGGTTGATTTTTTTTTTACCTTTCATTTTCAGGATAGTTGTATAGTTATATTTGAAGTGCATTTCTTAATAGACAACATGGTTGGGTCATAGTTTAATGCATTGCAAAATCTTTTATTTGATATTATAGCATTTACATTATTTGGTAAGATTAGAGCTTAAGGTATCCTAATTTTCGTTTTCTGTTTCTTATTTCTTTTAGTTTATTTTTTTCTGCCTTTCTTGGAGGTTACTTGAATGTATTTAGAAGTACAATTTGAATTCTCTGTAGTACTTTCCAATGTTTCTATAGTATATACTTGCTTTAGGCATTTTATAATATAGTTTACCCCAGTTTTCTCATTCTGTCAGTTTGAGTACTATATAAAATTCTCTATATATACCTCTCTCTTTTATTATATAGTATTCTTAAAGTTTTCTTCTGCATAAGTTTAGAATCTCAAAAGAATGTGTTTGAATTTTTATTTCAGCTATCAAGCATAACTTAGAAAACTGAAGAAAAGGAAAATGTGTTATATTTACTCATTTTTCTCTTATTCTTTCTTCCTTTCTGGTATTCTATAGTTTTTCATAAATTGTCTCTGTGTGGAAGGCTTTCTTTAGCTACTCTTTTGAGATAGATCTGTAGGAGACAGATTCTCTTATTTTCTTCATCCAAAAATGTCT